AAACTAACAATGACTACACACTTCTCATGAATACTTGGGCATGGAATGTTCTGAACATGCCAAGCAACTATCGGAGATCATTTACACGCTCATTTGAGTTCATGTGATGCTTAGCTAGGATTTGATCACCGGCAATAGACGAAATCGAGGCGTCGTAGATAGCATCACCGTGTCAGCTCAGCCAGCTCCTTTGCCATGACGTAAAACGAAGGTAAAGACATGACCCTGCCAAGGGATGGACTAGCATATATCTTCCTAAAACAACAGATATGTACGCGTTTGGGATGCAGGCAAGCTCTGCATCCTGTACGGTCTGTTTACTGTTTGTAATGGCTTATGGTCACTTGCATCGTGCTGACAGTTTGCATGTGGAATAGTTTTGGGCAATCTCCGTAGTGCGTGCTCTTCTTTCTAACAGCCTACTTTGGTCGTTAGCTCTGGGAATACTATCACTATGACTACTCGAAGATCACAAATTCTCACCGAAAGCGTCTGACCTGGAAAGCAGTTCTCTAGGATAATGGCACTGCCAAATATAGTTAGACCATCATCTCAACACACACCAAGCAACTTCGAGTTTTTCAGACTAGGTGTAATTTTAGCTAAATATATACAAATCCTTCCTAAGAAATCGAGTGCAACTAGTGCCAAGCCGTGCAGCCCATGCGCTATAGAGCTAGAAGCTGGTAAAGTAGCTAATTTGAACACGTCTCACTCACGAAAACAAAAACACACAGACCACCTAGTTGCTTACTAAGAGAAAAGCTTAGTAATAAAATGCCGCCAGATAGTGATACTATTATAGTAAATACCCAAGAAAATAGGCAGGAGAGCTTAGGGCCAGAGGCTCAAATCGATAGAGAAATGGAGATAGAGTCCACTCCAGCTACCCCCACCCAAAACCAACCAACACCAAGCGTATTTGAAATACCAATACTACCACCAAACAAACGATATGCCAACTTCTCGCCAGAGACTACCTATAGAGGCAGAAACCCATACCAAAACACCTCTAGTTTAAAACCAATTGCCAAGACCTCTGAGCAGGCAATCTATCGGGCGAGGGACCTTATTCTTCAAGCCTCCACAATGGAAGAGTCCCATGTAGCTCAAAATAAGCTACTAGAGCTACTAGACGTCTTCAGAGACTATACTGAAACGGGTAGAGTAGCTAACCAAATTACAGAAAAGCTATCTGCTAAGCTAGCTTACCACTCAGCGACGCTCGCAAACGCCTCTCAGCAAGCAACAAAGACGCTTAAACAAGCCACGATTGCAGCTTCAAACAAGGCACAGCCAATAGCCACACAACAAGCACAAAAACCAGCCCAAACCTCCTACGCCACAATTGCAGCAAACAACGCAAACCAAGCCTGGGCGATAGTACAGCCAAGGAAGAAGCCAGCACAACAAGCTAAAAAACCAGTATCTTACTACCAGACGCTAGTTACACTAGAAGAGGGCCAAACAACTAGCCCTCTACTAGTAAGAAACAAGATCAACCAAGCCTTCCAGAAGGCCGGCATTGCTGGCCCAGTTATCCAACAGGTGGCAATAAGCAAAAGAAATAATCTTATTCTTACAACCACCGAAGGATACTCAGGAGAATTTCTACTAAAGCAAGTTAATACTTGGCAAAACCAGCTCCCAATTAAGAAAGCCCAGCCGCTAGAGTCCTGGACTAAACTTGTGGTACACGGGGTGCCAACAACATTCGACGGGGCTGAAAACCTTCAGCTACTACACACCGAAATCCCAACGTACAACAAGAACCAAACTATCGTTGGCAACCCATACTGGCTATCTAGAAGCTGGAAAGATAAGCAAACAAGCTCTATTGTTATTGCTTTCAAATCCGAAGAAGAAGCGAAGAAGATTGGCAGCAGAATAACAATTCTTGGCCAATCCCTTCGGGTTGAGAAATACCGCCAAATCCCACTAACTGCGCAGTGCAGCAAGTGCCAAGGATTTGGACACAACTTTAGCAGGTGTAGGAACCTAGCTAGCTGCCAGTTCTGTGCTGAAAACCACCTAACTACTCAGCATAACTGCAGTATTTGCAAAACAAGAGGGAAGGCCTGTAATCACACACTCCCAAAATGCAAAAACTGTAAACAAACCCATTTTGCAAATAGCAAAGACTGCGAGGTATTTCTATCTATCAAATCATAATGATAGAAAACCTTAAAGTACTACAAGTAAACCTAAACAAAAACCCACGTACTACAGAATCAACGCTACAACTAGCAATCGAGCTTAAAGTTGATATTATCGCAATCCAAGAGCCGTGGATTGCCCCTTCCAATAGCAGTAACTACGAAGCCTCAAGGTCAATAGCCCACCAAAGCTTCTACCAAGTCTTTCCAAAAGCAGACCCAAACCTCCGCCCAAGAGCTCTATTTTATATATCTAGATCTGTAACAGCAGAGGTTAGCCAGCTAGAGGAGATAGCCGACCCCGACGCTATTGCTATCACGATCCAAGAAGGACGCTCGAAGTTCAACATCTACAACGTGTATAACCAAAAAAACGCAGGAAATATAAAAACCTTTCAAAGACTACTTAAAGATACCCAGCTACCAACCTCTACCCTACTACTTATAGACGCTAATGAGCACCACCCTTGGTGGGACCCAGGCTGTAAAACTAGCCAAGACGGCCAGCTATTAGCAGATTGGATAGAAGACCAGAACCTTAGCCTTCTTAACACGCTAGGAGCTACTACTTTCTTTAGACCTAATATGTTTCGAGAAACAACACTAGATCTATCTATCGCTACTCTGGATCTAGAAGACAAAGTACAAGACTGGCAAATTACAACGGAACCTGGATCTGATCACCACGGAATACTCTTCTCAATCCAGATAACAAAGGACCTAGTTAATAACCCTACTAGCCAAACAAGATACAATACAAAAAGGGCAGACTGGGACCTGTTTAGAGAGGAGTTGAGCAAAGCTATCCAGAGTAACGTAGTGCTACAATCCCTGGATCAGATTAACCAACCAAGGAAAGCAGATTCAAGAAATCTACTCCTAGGCCAAGACAACGAGCTTAAGCTGCAGCTAGAAGCAATTGGCACAGCGATTACTCTAGTAGTCCAACAAGCCGCAGATAAAGCTATTCCACAACTAAAGCTAGGGCCAAAAGCAAAGCCCTGGTGGAGCCAGGAGTTAACTAAGCTACGAAGAAACGTATCTCACTGCCAAAGGATATTCGTACAACAGCTACAAGCTACACCTATAGAGGAAGCCTATCTCTTTAAAAGAGACTTTCTCCTAGCGCGAAACACCTACCAAGCAGCAATTAGAAAAGCTAAAAGAGAGCATTGGAATAACTTCCTGGAAAAAGAAGACCCACAATCCATCTTTAAAGCTATGGACTATACCAAGGAAAAGAGAGTAGAAAGAATCCCTCCTATCCAAGG